ACCCTTTCCCCACATCCCTCATGCCACCGAAAACCCTTCACTTCACGCCCTTCCTTAAACGAGGTGACTTTTGAGTCGACTCAAAAGTCACATCCCTCATGCCACCGAAAACCCTTCACTTCACGCCCTTCCTTAAACGAGGTGACTTTTGAGTCGACTCAAAAGTCACATCCCTCATGCCACCGAAAACCCTTTACTTCACGCCCTTCCTTAAACGAGGTGACTTTTGAGTCGACTCAAAAGTCACATCCCTCATGCCACCGAAAACCCTTCACTTCACGCCCTTCCTTAAACGAGGTGACTTTTGAGTCGACTCAAAAGTCACATCCCTCATGCCACCGAAAACCCTTCACTTCACGCCCTTCCTTAAACGAGGTGACTTTTGAGTCGACTCAAAAGTCACATCCCTCATGCCACCGAAAACCCTTCACTTCACGCCCTTCCTTAAACCCTCAACCCTGCACCCCCAACTCTCGACTCCCTTCCCTTGTTCACCTCAATGTTTGCCTTCCCCCACTCGTCTCCATCTTGTCCATTCTCCCATTCCTCTCCAACCATTCCATTCATATCCCCCTCTTCCCCCCCCCCGTTTCTTCCCCCCTCACCCTGCTCTCTCTCTGTTGCCCATTTTCCCACAACCCAACTCCTCTTCCCCTCCCCTCCCCCCTTACCCCTCCCCCTTTCCCCTCACCTCCACAGTCCGCGGCACCAGACCTTTCCAGTCCGCGCACTCTCACCCACGTCACCTCCTTCTCACAACGCCCGCCACCCTTCACCTCACCTCCAATATCCATAAAACCAGTCCCCCCACTCCCCTACCAGTGTTCTTCTCCCTCCCGCCCCCCTCTCTCTCCCCTCACCTCCACAGTCCACGGCACGAGTCCCTCCAGTCCGCGCACTCTCCCCCCAACCATGCCGTGCGCCTCCACCACCACCACGCGCAGCTCCCCATTCCCCGCCCCGCTTCGCCTATTTCCCGCGCCCTCCGCGCCTCCCGCACCCGCTGCGCCTCCGCGCGCCCACTCTGCCCACTGCCTGTCCCGCGCCAACAGCTGCTGCGCCGCCTGCAGCCCCGCCAGGCCCGCGCCCACCACCACCACGTCGTACACCTCTGGCGCGACGCCTCGCGAAGCTGTGCGACTCCGTGCGACGGGCTGCGACTGCGACGCCATGGCTGGGAGTTTCGCCTAAGCGCAGTGGCGGTGTAACCGCCTGAAGGGCGGTATTGGAGCAAAATGCGGGCGGAGGCACTAGAGTGCGTCTGTGCGACGAACTGTAGGCTTCCTTATCCGAGAAGCCTAAGGGCCTAAGGGCGAGAGGCCTAAGGGTGGCAGGCCGAACAATGTTCTAAGGGCGGCAGGCCATTGAACGATTACGAACACTGGGGCATCGACACTTCGAGAAGTGACACGAGGAGTCGCGTGAAAGCAGCCGCTTCAACGCGGATCAGCAGCGGTTTCTGTTGGCGCTGATGGAAGAACAATGACGCAACTCGTTATAATGCAATCATTTTTAAGAATGTTTGAGAATGTTAAACTCCATCCTATGCACTCTAATCAAATCAGCTCGCAATGTGTTTTCCACATTAGCGAATAGGACCTACTTTTGTTCAAAATAATACTTCGTACCATTCAGGCTATTTTTTTATTTGAACTTTAGTTTGCATAAAGTTCAATTTATTCCCTCACCACAACACCTCCCAGAATATTTATTTAAGATATAATTTGACGATTTTGCTTTTCCTCTGGTGTACGTGGTTTCACTGGTGCTTGACTACGAATCGTTATATGAAGAAAACATCACTAGTGTACACTGACTAAATATGTTTGCTAATTTGCCGAATCAGCCGCTCATTTTAGGGACAATCGTTTTTCCTCACAAGCCCCCCATATCTGTCAACTCAACCCCATAACTTTCCTGGCTGGGGATTGCCGAAGCGAACCCAAGCGAGCCCTCGCATTGGTCGAGCTGGCACATTATCTGCTCGCCGATTTCTCCCATTCGACGCAGAGGCTAGCGATGGATCTTCTGGGCTGCCCCCGTGTGACATTTCGCCGCGACGCGCCACGCCCTCCCTGATCCTCTCTGCTCCCCTCTGCTGCTCCCCCGTCCCCCACCCCCCTCCCTCCACCTGAACTGAATTACTATCCCTCCTTGCAACCCCCAGACTTGGAGTCGTTGACGAACCCAACCCAACTCTCAGTGTACCCCAGCTTCCCCTGCTGTACACTGCATCAGAAGCCATGGCTGCCGTCACCGCCTCCCACACCGTTGCGGCTGTTGCCAGCTCCGTCGTGAGCAGGTCGGCCTTCTCCGGCCGTCAGGTTCGCTCCGTCAAGGTCGCCGCCGCTCCCGTGAAGGCTTCCTTCTCCGTCAGGGCCGGCGAGAGGCCGCTGTACTTCCCCGGCAGCACCCCCCCTGCCTACCTTGATGGCACCCTCCCCGCTGACTTTGGCTTCGATCCCCTTGGCCTTGCCTCCTCCAACCTGGACTGGTACGTCCAGGCTGAGGTGGTCCACTGCCGCTGGGCCATGCTCGGCGCCGCCGGTGTGATGATCCCTGACGCTCTCCGCGTTGCCGGCCTCCTCGACATCCCCCGCTGGGACGCCGCTAACGTCGCCGAGTACTGGCTCGACACCCCCACCCTGTGGGCCATTGAGATCATCCTCGTCGGCTGGGTTGAGGGCAGGAGATGGGCTGACATCAACAACCCCGGCTCCGTGAAGTGAGTGATGTTTTCCATTTTCACAGCCATTTCTTAGTCTTCGTCTCCGCAACTGGATCTCACGTGAAACTCTGACTACAGCGAGGACCCCATCTTCAAGGGCAATGCCGTCAAGGGTACCGATGTCGGCTACCCCGGCTTCGATCCCCTCGGCATGGGCTTCGGCGAGCCCGCGAAGGTCAAGGACGTGCGTCTCCGGGAGATCAAGAACGGCCGATTGGCCATGCTTGCTAACCTCGGCTTCTGGGTCCAGTGCGCGTACACCGACAAGAGCCCCATTGAGAACCTTCTGGACCACCTCTCCGACCCCTTCCACAACAACGTCGTCGAGGTAATTCGTTGTTCCTTTCTGCATTGCAGGAGCTTCCAGCAGTTGAATGTATTTTATCTACCACTTCTCGTTATTCGTCTAACGTCCACTCTTTTCTCTTTTGGTTACCTTTGCAGTCCATTGCCGCCATCCCCGGTGTCTTCCCCGCTCCCTTTTAAATGGGCGTGAAGTTGGTTCCTGTTTTGCCCTGGATGTAAAGCAGTGTTCATAAGATTCAAAACTAAAAAAATATGATTATATTCAAACAAGTCTATCGTTTGCACAACCACTTGCACGACCACCTGCCATTGGGATTAATCGTACCGTATTCGTTCAGGCACAGCTGCCATTGAAAGGACACAATCATCCCTAGCAGAGAATCAACTCGCAAGTCTTAAATGCCACATTGCGTAGTAAGGACATGAAGGATGGTACCCGTGGTAGTATATCTTCCCGTATGTTGTGTGCGGTCTTCTTCATGTCATCACGGGGTGAGGCAGTAAAAGATGGAAACCGCTATAGAGTGCAATGTTCTTAATCTAGTAGGTAATGTGCGACCTTCGCTCGATCATTAATGCCAACCAAGTCCCGCCCCAATGCAAATGATCACTCTGAAATTACAAACGTTCTCATGTACATCTGTAGCAACCATGTGAACTATTCACAGCATGTTACCCTATAAAACTGTCACTGTAATGAGACTAGGCAACAGCAGTTGCAGTCCTGATGGCAAACTTCTCAAGGTACTCCTTCCTGCATAATAGGCACTTGATGTGAGAGGTGAGACAAGGCAGAAGATTCCGCACAACCAGCATGACAATTGGCAGGGCACATACCTGGCTGCCATTTCATCAGCCGGACGGTTGTAAGGAGTCCACACAGGCTCGCCCACAAAGAGACGGAGAGCCTGAAAAGGAGACAGCCAGTCGCAGACCGCAGGCACAATGAGAACTCTGCCTGCCACGTTTCGTGCAAGGCACATGACTAGAGTGCCCTTGCCTGCAAAGCTGCAAAACGAGCGGCACACAAGCAAACTGCACACTGCAACCCCCTCTGCTTCACTGCATGCGCTACACACCTTGACGTAGTTGGTAGATGCCAGCTGGCAGCACGATGAGGCCGCCCTTTGAGTTAGTTTTAAGACGTCTCAGAACGCACATTGACGTAGTTGGTGGAGTCGAGGGTGAAGCGGTGCTAGATCATTTTTCCTAGACGTCTCAAAAGCAACACACTGGAACCCCCTGCTTCCCTTCCCTGTGTGTGCACCTTGACGTAGTTGGTGGAGTCGAGGGTGAAGCGGTGGTAGATGCCAGCTGGCAGCACGATGAGGTCGCCCTTCTTCGTGTGGATGCGGATCCAACGGTCCTCAAAGTCCCTCACATCAAAGTAGCCTGGGTGCGGGAGATGGGACATGGGAGGGCCAAGGAAACATGAGACAGGGTGAATACGGCTGAAGCACCACTGCTGTGGAATACATCATCACCCCCAGTTGCCATCTAGAATAATGAAGATGGAAGCAGCGCACTCACCGCTCCCACCCCAAGCAGCACTCACCGCTCCCACCCCAAGCAGCACTCGCTGCTCCCACCCCAGGCAGCACTCACCACTGCCATCAAGGATGTAGCGAATCTCCTCGTCTGTGTGGATGTGCTCCTCATAGAACGACTTGAGCTTTTGGTCTAGGGTATAGGGTAGTTGGACCTTCACCACACGTTCATGCACTCACCACTGCCATCAAGGATGTAGCGAATCTCCTCATCGGTGTGAATGTGCTCCTCGTAGAACGACTTGAGCTTCTGCTCGTAGTTGGGCAGTGTGTCCGGGTGGATGTTCACCACCTCCTGTGGGGAGATAGAGGGAGGAGAGGGGAGGGCAAAGAGCGGGTGAGGCGAATAGAAGCATGTCCGGATGGGTGTTCACCACCTCCTTTGCACAAATAGGAGGGGAGGAGGGGAGGAGGGGAGGAGGGGAGAGGGCAGGGAGCGGGTGAGGCGAATGGCAGCGTGTCTGGGTGGATGTTGACCAGCTCCTGTGGATGGTCTGCACAGAGTGAAGAGGGAGGGGGGAGAGGAAGTGGTGGAACAGTGTGGCTGTGCACCAGCTGAAACTGTAAGGTTACTACTGGGCGCATTAGGGCAGTGTGTCCCAATGCTGCAGGTTGTTTTTGAGAATTCTAAATAACAACCATTTGAAACTGTGTGGTTACAACAGGGGGCACTTGGGAAGCATGTCCCGATGCATCTCCATTACCTCCTGTGCAAACTACCATGGTAACAGGGGCGAAGGGGGAACGGGGAGAAGGAGAGGAGGGAAGGAGAGGAGGGAAACGGGGAGTAGCACAGCTCACACCTCACATCGTACAAGTCTGTTGTCCTTGCGGATCTGCTTCAGCTCTGTTTGAGCTTGCTATGTCTTCTAGACCCGCTCACAAGCCACGCCCCCCAGCTCACGCGTCAGCCCCCCACGCCCCCCAGCTCACGCGTCAGCCCCCCACGCCCCAAGGCTAACATCCCACGTGCCCCGCGGCTCACCTCGTACGAGTAGTTGCGCTCCTTGCGAATCTGCTTCAGCTCTGTTCGAGCTTGAGCTCTGTTGACTTTTAATGGCCAGCCCAAACCCCACACGCCCCCTCCCCCCCCCCCCTCACCTCGTACGAGTAGTTGCGCTCCTTGCGGATCTGCTTCAGCTGGGGGTCGGAATCCCAGATGTCCGCGTCCAGCTTCCAGTACAGAATGCCCAGCTCTGCACGCAAGACGAGGGACACACGTGGAAGGGCAGGTGAGACGTGGGGGGTTGAGAGGAGCGGCAGGACGGGGTCGCTCTTCCAGATGTCCGCGTCCAGCTTCCAGTGCAGGATGCCCAGCTCTGCCAAGGGACACACACGGGACACATGAGACAGGCGGGACACGGGAGAGGGGTGAGAGAAGAGTGAGAGGCGCGGCAGAGGGGGTCGCTCTTCCAGATGTCCGCGTCCAGCTTCCAGTACAGGATGCCCAGCTCTGCACTGCACGCAAGACGAGAGACACACGTGGGACACATGGGACACGCGGGACGCACGGAACAGGCGAGAGTTTGATGGAAGGTCGGGATAAACGGCGGGGGGTGAGAGGGAATTGATTTTCCGTCTCTGCGCGGGCGAGCTGCGAGAAAGAGAGAAGCGAGAGCTGCGGGAAAGAGAGACGCGGGAGAGCCGCGCGAGAGAACCAGCAAGGGGGAGGTTTAGACAACTAGGCGGGAGCGGTGGGAGAGGAGGGATATTGCTGGAAGGGCGGCGAACGCGAAAGGGTAAGCGGTAGGAGGAATTACGGATGGATGGATGCAAACAGCAGAGGCGGGTGGATGCAAACAGCAGAGGCGGGTGGATGCAAACAGCAGAGGCGGGCGAAGCGAGAACGCGAAACGAGTACGCGTAGGTCGCGAAAGCGACGGCAGGAAGCGAAGGAAGGAAGCGCACTTAGGTGCCTCAGAAAGCGAGGGCGGGGAGGGAGAAGGAGGGAGGGAGGGAGGGAGGGAGGGAGGGAGGGAGGGAGGGAGGGAGGGAGGGAGGGAGGGAGGGAGGGAGGGAGGGAGGGAGGGAGGGAGGGAGGGAGTTAGGGAGGGAGGGAGGGAGGTAGGGAGGGAGGGAGGCGCACCGGAGAGCGTTTCGAGGGAGCAGGGCTGGTTGGGGTCGAGGCGATGAGGCAGGCGCTGGTCGTCGGTCTTGTCGTCCATGTACCACGCCTGGCGGGGGATGGAGTGGAGGGGGACGACGAGGAAGAGACACGGAAGAAGAGGAATGAAAACAGAGAAACCGCGAATGACAAAATGCAAGAGGAGGCAGGCGCTGGTCGTCGGTCTTGTCGTCCATGTACCACGCCTGGCGGGGGGATGGAGGGGGAATGGAAGGGGGATGGAGGGGGACGGCGGAAGAGACGCGGAAGAAGAGGAATGGAAACAGAGAAATCGCGAATGCTAGAGTGCAAGCGGAGGCAGGCGCTGGTCGTCGGTCTTGTCGTCCATGTACCACGCCTGGCGGGGGATGGAAGGGGAAGAAGACGGAAGAGGAATGCAGAAGACGTGGAAGGTAATAAGACATCGCGACGAGCGGAATGCGACAAGGTACGACACAACGGGGAATGTCGCACGTGAGGGAATGATCATGGGCATGGCGGTGCTGATCGCCGGGTCTGTCGTGCGCGCATCCATGTACCGCGCCTGTGAATAGCGGTGCGACAAATAACGCGGCGCAACGGATTGGGACGGGTAGAGTTGAGATACGAGCCGCGCCGCGATACTCGAGGAGGCATCACGTTGCAAAAAAAACAGAAAGGTATTGGCGACGTGATTTCTTATTGCAACAACGGGCGGAATAAGTAGGATTCTGAGGATTCTCGTGGAACCATTGCGAAGGAACACGATCTAGACAAACTCATCGACCTCCGGCATTGCCGCGAGAAGCGCGACACGTGGAGCACCGGGCGCACGATCCGCATGATGGCTCACCTCGGGCGCCATTGCCGTCGAGAGAGCGGCTCGCGGCTCGCGGGGTAGAGCTGCGGGCGTATTAATGAAAACGAACGCTTACGGAAGCAAAAACCGCGCAGAGCAGAGCGACGAGAGTGGCTCAAACTAGTTTCTGATTGTCTTGAAACTAATTCCCGAGGTACGGAAGTCTCTAGATTCCAGATTTTCGAGATTCGTTCCGTCTTGGTTTTCCCTCCCGCGCTGCTGCCAGCCAGCACTGCCACCACCACTCGTCCCCCTCCAAATTGTTACTGCTGCCATGGAGCTTCGATACAAGGGCTCTATATAACGGGTTGGGTAGATTCAGTGAATGTTTGGCGTGGAGTGCTTTGGCCACTTACAGCCTTTGTGTTCACTAACAGATACTCCTATTACAGTCATATATGACTGTACTGTTTTGCTTGTGCTTCTTTGTATGAGCTTTCACTTAAAAAAAAAAAACAGATACTCCTATTGAACAATCTATGGTCTTACCGTCATCGCCCGGATATAAGACATATATGTCTTATTTCGTACACTACTCAAAATGTTTGAGTTATCTTGTATTTGGGATGGTTTAGGGTGTCTTAAAAGTCTTATAAATGGAAAAATAATTAAGTAGTCTGTAACACTTGCAAAGTGTGTAGAAACCACCTGGGGCAAGATTCATTGAAACAGGCCGACCTCGGTGGTGATGCATGAAGCGCCCACACTTGCCACGTGAGGGATGCAGCAAAGCTGCCACCGTTGGCAACATTCCTCTGTGCTGGCAACAATCTTCTCTGCTGGCAGCATCTAATGATGCTGCTAGCGTCGTTTTGCTGCCAGCAGCGCATGGATGCTTCCATAACACTGCTGGCAGCACGATGGCAGCGTGAGGACCGTCCTCTACGAGGAGATGCCTCGTAGAGGAGCGGCTCGGCACCTTTGGATGGGGCACTCTGGCTAGGGGGGGGGGGGTAGTCGGGCTCTTGCTTCATTTGGTGCTCAAGGATGTTGAATACTCGTCTCAACCTTGCTCTCGGCAAGCTTTCTAACCATGCGCAGCAAAGTACCCGTAGGCTCGTCCTCTCCTCGTCCTCACGTGCAGGTGAATAACTACGGGCGAATTAACTCGCCCGGCGATGACATCCGTGTAGCCATGGCGAAGAACGCGAGCAAGGCGGGACGTTCTACCGCCGCCTCCGGTGCGAGCTGTGACGGGGACGACGGCGACGAAGAACACGGCGATGACGCCGAGGAGGATTGGCCGGAGAACGGCCACGATGACAGCGCTTCGGGCGACGAATTAGCTCCTTCCGACATCAAGGAGGACGAATGGTGGAATCGGCCGGTCGGGAGCGACGAGGAAGTGGAAGAGTGGCGGGTTGGTGATTCGGACAACGACGGAGGCGCCGATGCTGATGGTGACAACGCGGAGGCAGCGGCGCATGCAGCGGGAGTGACGGTGGATGCGTATTTGGAGGCTGACGACGAGGCGGAAGTGGATGCCGAGACAGTTGCGCCTGCGGAGGTGGCCGCCATTGCGGATGCGGATGCTATGGCGGAGGTGGACAAGGATGCTGCGGATGCCGTCTTATATGACGGTGAAGGCTCCGACGACGACCCGTGGAGCTTCAAGGACGACGACGACGTTCCGCTACTAAAGCGGAGGCTGCGCCATCGCCTACAGTCCAAGCCGAAGCGTGCCCGCGTGGTGCTCTCTGATGACGACAGTCTGGGGGAGGAGCGTCGCCCGATACTCACCGCTGCAGAGAAGGGTAAAGCCAAGATCATGAAAGCCCCTGCTAAGGCCACTGTTCGTCGCCGCACAAGCAATAAGAAGCGGAAAACTGACGGCGATCCTGGATCCAGCAAGAGTGCTGCTAAGAAGAAGGCGAAGAAGACGCCAAATCCGAACGACATCGTTGTTAACGAGACTCTTGGCAGCGACAACGAATACGCGGAAGCGGCGGGCCCGATTCCTTCATTCCGTGAGAAGCCTACGCCAAAAGACCCCACCCTCAATAATTCCAACACCCGCCCACCTTCCCCTCGCAGTAAGGACACTACAAAAAAGCGACGTGGATGGACCGTGCGCGAGAAGCTAAAGTGGGCGCGCCGTGTCAGAACGTTATAATTGTCTAGCCTGCAGTGGGGTACACTATAGCGAGTACAACCCAATTAGGGTTTCCTATATGTATGCCAACTGCTACTAGTGCAACCCCTCTCTTCTTCATCCCTCATTTTTCACATGCTATCAGAGCATCTACGCTCCTGGCCTGTGGGCCCACCTAACTGCTTCCGCTGCTACTCTGTGTGCTGCACGCCCTGTGGCGTGCCTCTCGCGCGACCCTTAGCGGCCCCGTCGCCACCCCTTGCGGCCCCGTCGCTGCCCTTCTCGGCCCCTCGCGGCCCCTTCGCGGCCCCGTCGCCGCCCCTTCGCGGCCCCGTCGCCGCCCCTAGCGGCCCGTCGCCGCCCTTCCAGGCCCCTCGCGGCCCCTTCGCGGCCCCGTCGACGCCCCTATCGGCCCTGTCGCCGCCTCCAGCGGCCCCGTCGTCGCCCCTTGCGGCCCCGTCGCCGCCCCTAACGGCCCCGTCGCCGACCTTTCAGGCCCCTCGCGGCCTCTTCGTTGCCCCGTCGCCGCCCCTATCGGCCCCGTTGCCGCCTCCAACGGCCCCGTCGCCGCCACTTGCGGCCCCGTCGCCGCCCCTTTCGGCCCTGCCTCGACCCTGCCCCGGCCCCGCCCCGGCCATGCTCCGTCGCCTGTCGCGGCGCACCGGGGGCCCGTGCACCGCCCCCCCCCCCTCTTTTCCCGTCGCCTGTTGAGGGACGACCTGGGGGGAGGGGGGGCGAGCGTCGCCCCTTCTGCCGCCTTTTTTGGCGCCCTGAATGGCCGCGCGTCAGCCCCCCCTCCCCCCCCCCCCCCGTAACCTCCCTACTCGCCGTCCCGCCTTGCCCTGTGTTAGGGTCTGGGGGTGGCGAGTAGGGGGTGGCGGGTCTGTGGTCTCCCCTGCTCCTCCTCCTCCTCGGTCTCCCACTGCTGCAGCTGCTGTTGAGGGGGGTGGGTGTGTGGGAGTCGACGGAGTGGTGCTAGGGGGTGGGGTGTGAGTGAACCTAGGGTGCAGCAAGGGGTGTGTGAAAGGGGGGTGCTGTGGGAGTGGAACTAGGGTTTGAGCAGGGGGTGTGTGTCGAGGGTGTGGGGCAGCTGGAGGAGGTTGTGTGAAGGTAGCTGTCGTGTCGCCTGCAGCGCCTGTAGTCCGTCGCCCTTGCTTCGGTAGCCAGTGAGCCTGGTCGTCAGCCCAAGAAGCGTCTGCGTGACCTATGAGGACCACTGGACGTCGCCCTCCAAGCACTAGCCCCATGCCCGATGTACTGCACAAGTAGCGCAACACCCTCTTCGCTGTAGCCATGTGCTCTGGTCGGTGTCTCCCAGGAGCAACATAGCGTGCCAAGATGCTAAGAGGGTATGCAAGATCAGGTCGTGTGCAAGTCATCAGGTACATGAGGCAGCCAACAAGCTCTGGGTACGGGCCACTCGACTCTACGGACTCATCCGAAGGCAGAGCTGAGAGCGAGTGGCGAGTAGGCAGAGGAGTGGCCTGGGGCGAGGAGTACGTGAAGCCGAAGCGCTGAAGGACCTGCTGCACCATGTGTAACTGAGTCAGGGTAATGGTGCGGCGTGCTCTGTCCCGAGTGATCTGCAACCCAAGGTAGCTGCGCAGTTCACCCAGGTCAGTGCAGGTGTGTCTCTTCTGCAGCTCGGACTTCACGTGGGCGAGTCCAGCAGTGTCAGCTGTGGCAAAGACCAAGTCGTCGACGTACACGAGGATGTAGAACGGCGGCAAGGAAGTGTCGATGCGCAGAAACAGCGACGGGTCGGCAGTAGAGGGAGCAAACCCAAGAGGCGCAAGTGTAGTCCTCAGTGTGTCGTGCCACTCACGCGGTGCCTGGCGGAGACCGTAGACTGGCCGGCGGAGGCTCCACTGGGTGCCAGGAGGAAAAGTCCCAGTGAAGCCAAGTGGGCGGCGCAGCCAGATCTCCTCGTGCAGGCTGCCCTGCAAGAAAGCAGTGCTGAAGTCAAGAGAGTGAAGCTCGTAGTCGCGCTGAGCGGCTATGTGCAGTAGCACCCAAAGATTGGTCATCTTCGGGGTGGGAGAGAAGGTCTGAAAGTAGTCAACTTCCTGTCGCTGACAGAAGCCACGAGCCACGTAACGCGCCTTAAAGACAGGTGGAGAACCCGGCGGCCGCTTCACCCTGAAAATCCACATGCCACTGACGATGTTCGCCCCAGGAGGGGGAACGGCATCAACGTAGGTGCCTGTGGACTTCCAGGAAGCCATCTCTGCGTCCATAGCTGCCTGCCACTGAGAGGAGTAGGGACCCTCTATCGCCTCCGCGTAAGAGCGCGGAGTCGGGATGTCAAGTGCATCCGGGTCTCCCTCAGGGGTAAGCAGTACGGACACGAGATGAGGTGAAGCAGCGGCCAAGCAGTGGAACTTCTCCTGCCTGTCCTCAAGGACGTCCGTGCCAAGGGCACACTCACCCCCGACGGACGGAGGACAGACAGACTTAGACTCAGCAACAAGACTAGCAGCGTAGTCTAGACGACA